CGCGTTTTTCTGGAGGGACTGATTAATACCCTTATATAAAGAGTTGCAATTTCAAGGCTCTTAGACGTCAAACACGATTTCAACTTGGCCAAGTTTCTTAAATGAAAGAAACTTGTTTTCACTACTTGGTTTATTTGAGCATTTAGCATTGAGAGTGGGCCAAAATTGAAGTCCGCTGCGCTTCTTGTTCTTTTGGACCCGCATACAACAATCTCAGTCTTATTTTCATTAAGATATAAAAAGTTAGAGGCCAACCATGATTTAAGTTCAGACAAGCAGGACATTAGAGGCTCCAGAGTAGTTATAACCCTACGGTTTATGTCAAAATGATTTATTGCTTTTTGATGGATAGGGGGCGGAGCTGACCTTTGACCTTCCGGATTCCATCTTAGAAGTAGTCATAAACCTTTGACCTTTTGAATTCCATATCTGGAATATCGATTAACCTTTGACCTATCGATCAATCAAATGGACAGGTGGTTTTTGACCCGTTGACCTTTTGCATTCCATCTCTGGAATATCAATTAACCTAGTGACCTTTTCTAATCGAGAACATGCGGGTGAACATTCTGGTTTTGACCCGATGACCTTTTCTAATCGAGAACATCTGTGGTACATTCTGGTATTGATCCGTTGACCTTTCTAATCCAAAAAAAACATGTGTGGGAACATTCTGGTTTTGACCCAGCTGATCCCAGGAAGCGATCAATCAAAATGGACAGTTTGACCCTAGTGATGTTTTTGTGTTCTTGATCAAACTGACATGATGTTACTGACCTATTGACCCTTTGGGGGAAATAACTTTGGAAGAATTGGTTACGGAATTCCCATCCCATCCTGCCGTTCTATTGCCGGAATAATTTTCTAATAATCCCAATATCACATATAAATATGGTCTGTAAAATAAAAGCAGCTTACTTGAGTGCTGATGATCCCCCTCAGATTCTCTCATCGGCCTTCGGCCTCTGTGAACATTGGCTGAACATTCCTTCACCCAGAGAAAATCTCACACGAGCTAAAAAATGAAACCGTGTTTTATAGATTTTAAGGAACACATTCAGATTTAAATATGATGTGAAAAATAAAAAGCATCTAACTTCAAGACGTTGAAAAAGAATTCTCTCTAATTGACCTTTTGACAGCAGCATCTGTATGTCTGTTTGTGCAAGTAAGACACACACGGCACCCTCGGCAGCCCCGTGCTGAAATAGTTACAAAAAAAGTTCAATATTTTTCTCACTAACTAAAGTTGAAACCATGGTTCATTTAAAGGTGCCATCTGTAAAAATTGAGGTTAAAATATCCCAAAAATGAGCTACACGCATCAAAAGAATGAGAAGAAATAAGGTTGATGATGTCATTTAAAAAAATGACAAGTTATAGTGCTGCCGAGATATTAACCTGAATTAGCATGCTACATTACTAGCCCCGGCCCGGCAGGTGTCGTCATACCAGTTTCGGGCATGGGAGGCCCCCCTAGTCCCACTTTGGCAAAAAAATTAATTATAACTATCTCATGGCCTCAACATAGTAACTCGTGGGCTCAAGATAGTAACTCGTGGCCTCAAGATAGTAAGTCGTGGCCTCAAGATAGTAACTCGTGGCTCAAGATAGTAAGTCGTGGCCTCAAGATAGTAAGTCGTGGCCTCAAGATAGTAACTCGTGGCCTCAAGATAGTAAGTCGTGGCCTCAAGATAGTAACTCGTGGCCTCAAGATAGTAACTCGTGGCCTCAAGATAGTAACTCGTGGCCTCAAGATAGTAACTCGTGGCCTCAAGATAGTAACTCGTGGCCTCAAGATAGTAACTCGTGGCCTCAAGATAGTAACTCGTGGCCTCAAGATAGTAACTCGTGGCCACAAGATACTAACTCGTGGCCTCAAGATAGTAACTCGTGGCCTCAAGATAGTAACTCGTGGCCTCAAGATAGTAACTCGTGGCCACAAGATAGTAACTCGTGGCCACAAGATACTAACTCGTGGGCTCAAGATAGTAACTCGTGGGCTCAAGATAGTAACTCGTGGGCTCAAGATAGTAACTCGTGGCCTCAAGATAGTAATTCGTGGCCTCAAGATAGTAACTTGTGGCCTCAAGATAGTAACTCGTGGCCACAAGATACTAACTCGTGGCCTCAAGATAGTAACTCGTGGGCTCAAGATAGTAACTTGTGGCCTCAAGATAGTAATTCGTGGCCTCAAGATACTAACTCGTGGCCTCAAGATAGTAATTCGTGGCCTCAAGATAGTAACTCGTGGCCTCAAGATAGTAACTCGTGGCCTCAAGATAGTAATTCGTGGCCTCAAGATAGTAATTCGTGGCCTCAAGATAGTAACTCGTGGCCTCAAGATAGTAACTCGTGGCCTCAAGATAGTAACTCGTGGCCTCAAGATAGTAACTCGTGGCCTCAAGATAGTAACTCGTGGCCTCAAAATAGTAACTCGTGGCCTGAAGATAGTAACTCGTGGCCTCAAGATAGTAACTCGTGGCCTCAAGATAGTAACTCGTGGCCTCAAGACCACGATAGTAACTCGTGGCCTCAAGATAGTAACTCGTGGCCTCAAGATAGTAACTCGTGGCCTCAAGATAGTAACTCGTGGCCTCAAGATAGTAACTCGTGGCCTGAAGATAGTAACTCGTGGCCTGAAGATAGTAACTCGTGGCCTCAAGATAGTAACTCGTGGCCTCAAGATAGTAACTCGTGGCCTCAAAATAGTAACTCGTGGCCTCAAGATAGTAACTCGTGGCCTCAAGATAGTAACTCGTGGGCTCAAGATAGTAAGTCGTGGCCTCAAGATAGTAAGTCGTGGCCTCAAGATAGTAACTCGTGGCCTCAAGATAGTAACTCGTGGCCTCAAGATAGTAAGTCGTGGCCTCAAGATAGTAACTCGTGGCCTCAAGATAGTAACTCGTGGCCTCAAGATAGTAACTCGTGGCCTCAAGATAGTAACTCGTGGCCTCAAGATAGTAACTCGTGGCCTCAAGATAGTAACTCGTGGCCTCAAGATAGTAACTCGTGGCCTCAAGATAGTAACTCGTGGCCACAAGATACTAACTCGTGGCCTCAAGATAGTAACTCGTGGCCTCAAGATAGTAACTCGTGGCCTCAAGATAGTAACTCGTGGCCACAAGATAGTAACTCGTGGCCACAAGATACTAACTCGTGGCTCAAGATAGTAACTCGTGGGCTCAAGATAGTAACTCGTGGGCTCAAGATAGTAACTCGTGGCCTCAAGATAGTAATTCGTGGCCTCAAGATAGTAACTTGTGGCCTCAAGATAGTAACTCGTGGCCACAAGATACTAACTCGTGGCCTCAAGATAGTAACTCGTGGGCTCAAGATAGTAACTTGTGGCCTCAAGATAGTAATTCGTGGCCTCAAGATAGTAACTCGTGGCCTCAAGATAGTAACTCGTGGCCTCAAGATAGTAATTCGTGGCCTCAAGATAGTAATTCGTGGCCTCAAGATAGTAACTCGTGGCCTCAAGATAGTAACTCGTGGCCTCAAGATAGTAACTCGTGGCCTCAAGATAGTAACTCGTGGCCTCAAGATAGTAACTCGTGGCCTCAAAATAGTAACTCGTGGCCTGAAGATAGTAACTCGTGGCCTCAAGATAGTAACTCGTGGCCTCAAGATAGTAACTCGTGGCCTCAAGACCACGATAGTAACTCGTGGCCTCAAGATAGTAACTCGTGGCCTCAAGATAGTAACTCGTGGCCTCAAGATAGTAACTCGTGGCCTCAAGATAGTAACTCGTGGCCTGAAGATAGTAACTCGTGGCCTGAAGATAGTAACTCGTGGCCTCAAGATAGTAACTCGTGGCCTCAAAATAGTAACTCGTGGCCTCAAGATAGTAACTCGTGGCCTCAAAATAGTAACTCGTGGCCTCAAGATAGTAACTCGTGGCCTGAAGATAGTAACTCGTGGCCTGAAGATAGTAACTCGTGGCCTCAAGATAGTAACTCGTGGCCTCAAAATAGTAACTCGTGGCCTCAAGATAGTAACTCGTGGCCTCAAGATAGTAACTCGTGGCCTCAAGATAGTAACTCGTGGCCTCAAGATAGTAACTCGTGGCCTGAAGATAGTAACTCGTGGCCTCAAAATAGTAACTCGTGGCCTCAAGATAGTAACTCGTGGCCTGAAGATAGTAACTCGTGGCCTGAAGATAGTAACTCGTGGCCTGAAGATAGTAACTCGTGGCCTCAAGATAGTAACTCGTGGCCTCAAAATAGTAACTCGTGGCCTCAAGATAGTAACTCGTGGCCTCAAGATAGTAACTCGTGGCCTCAAGATAGTAACTCGTGGCCTCAAGATAGTAACTCGTTCTTCTAAGATTCTCAATCTTTGTTTTAAATGAACTAAGAAAATTCTCATATATCAATGGGGTCGGAGTAAGATTCAATATGGGAGGGTTTAAGATTATCATATTTACAGTATATATTAATATTATTTCCCTATTAATTGTCTGGTGTCGTTTAAAGCTGTACTGAAACTCTCATTTGGACCCCATTGAAGTCCATTATATGGAGAAAATGCTGGAATGTTTTCATCAAAAACCTTCATTTCTTTTCGACTGAAGAAAGAAAGATATGGACATCTTGGATGACATGGGGGCGAGTAAATTATCAGCAGAAGTTTTTTTTTAAAGTGAACTACTCCTTTAGTGAGTTAATTATCTCAGAATTATGAGACATATTTTTCTTGAAAAAAAATGTTTTCACTCTGTTTCACTCCTAATTTGTGAGATAATCAAGTTATTAATTCAGAAAAACAGAGCAAAACTTTTTTCCATGAAAAATTATCTTGAACTGTTTTTTTTTTCCTCAAGTGAATGCAATACGCTCCCGTACAAGCCAATGTGTTCACGATTATGACACCCCAATGTAACCCTGAAAAAGCAGAAGCAACATCATGTCACGTGCAGAAGTTGTCCCTGTCCCACGCCTCCCGGCTAATCATTACAGCTCCTCAACAATCATTACACCACCGACACGACATGACAGACTCTCTCCTGTGATCTCAGTCTGCTCACACACACACACACACACACCTGTATCCCTGTGAAGAAGCATGGCTGTGTACGAGGAGGCCGGCAGGCCCACATGGAGCCGGCAGATCGAGTTCACTCTGGCTGGGATCGGCTGTGCGGTGGGACTGGGAAACATCTGGAGGTTCCCGTATCTGTGCTATAGGAGCGGTGGAGGTGAGACACACACTCATCACTTCACAAAACACCAACAGTGTTGGGAAAGTTGGAAAACTAATGCATGTTACTCACTTAAAAAGCAACGAATTGCATTGCATAGTTATTTTTTAAAGAAAATGCATTACATTAGTTTTGGGTTACTCATCTGGGCTGGGCTTGTTTTGTTTTTTAATAGCAAAAAATATATATTTTAGGGCAAATGTAAAGGCCAGTTCACACTAAATTTAAATAATAGGACACAAATTCAGGCATGTACAGTAAACGGCATGGCTCAAACAAACCTGTGCTGCCATTCGGGATAACAGAAGAATATAGGATGGAGGAGAAGAAATTTCTACATTTACTTCACCATTAAAAACAAAACATCTAAAGTCATTTTTACTTGTGGTTTAACTGAATCTTTAAAGTGAGATTAAATGCATAAAAATATATATATTTTTATTTAAAATATGTCATTATTGGAGGTTGATTTTAATTTTGTATTTCACTGATTTTATTAATTTTGAGGAATCTCTTTTGCAAGTGAGATTAAATACTCTCATTTAGTCTAGAACTACAATAACCATGATGTTTAACTCCACTCCCATTCAATTAATGGGAAAACAAAGTAAATTGCATTACTTCTTTGATAAAGATATATTTTGTTGTAAATTTAAAAGTAATGCACTACTTTACTAGTTACTTGAAAAAAGTAATCTGATTACGCAACTTGAGTTACATGCAATGAGTTCCACACTACACTGCTCACCAGTATAATAAAACCGGTCTGATGATATTTATCCCCTCGTGGCAGGGTATTTTATTAAGTTATTTATCAGTACGCATTATTAGTGGCCCTTTAGTGTGGAATAAAGCCGTGCACATGTCTATATGACATCAGAGTTTGTTATTCAACAGTTTCACCTTTACCTTTTACACTGTAAACGTCAGAATGAAAACACATCCACAGTGTGACAGGTGATGGATGAGTTTATCTGTAAGTGTAATGGTGTGTAAGATCAACCATGACACTGCAATCCCTCTCAGATCACACTGGACACCTTTATATTGCTATAATGCTTACATGCAACTAGTGTTAACGTAATCTAAACATGTGTATATGTACTGGTTCAGAGTTTCAATTCTTTATTTTAATTATTAGCTATTTCTATCTGTAATGTATTCATAATTTACATTTGCATAACTTACAGAGAAAAAATAAAACACACACACACACACACACACATTATGTTATAAATATATATTTGGATTTATATTTTCAGGCTTAATATATTATATTAATTACGTGATTTGTATTAATTATGTTATAAATATATATTTGGATTTATATTTTCAGGCTTTATATATATATATATATATATATATATATATAAGCCTGAAAATATAAATCCAAATATATATTTATAACATAATTAATACAAATCACATAATTAAAATATATATATATATATATATATATATATATATATATATATATATAAGCCTGAAAATATAAATCCAAATATATATTTATAACATAATTAATACAAATTTAATTATATTTTAGAAGATTTTCTATACCACCATCTGATAGGTTTGACAAGCTTCTGTTATGAAATAGTTGAATTGAACTGAAATGAAGTGAACTAAACTGAAGTGAAATGAACCTAAATGAAGTGAAGTGAACTGAGCTTAACTGAACGGAACTGAACTGAACTGAAGTGAACAACTGAACTGAACGGAAGTGAACTGAACTGAACTGATTTGAACTGAACTGAGCTTAACTGAACAGAAGTGAACTGAAGTGAAGTGAACAACTGAACTGAACGGAAGTGAACTGAACTGAGCTTAACTGAACGGAACTGAAGTGAACAACTGAACTGAAGTGAACTGATTTGAACTGAACTGAGCTTAATTGAACAGAAGTGAACTGAAGTGAACTTTAAGGGTTAGTTCAGTATTTTTCACTGGAACAATATAAAACGCATTAAACTTTAGTTTACAAAGACATGAAACTCACCGAGTGGTCTGGGATGTTCACTGATATGCTCACACAAAAATTGCAGGAAAAGATGCTTTCAAACAGGTTTATCGTAGTTTTTGTAACAAGTCAAGTCAACGGAGTCGGACAATCGGGCTTCAATTGTAAAATCCAGAACCAACCCTTTAACTGAACTGAACTGAGCTTAACTGAAGTGAACTGAACTTACCCTTTAACTGAACTGAGCTTAACTGAAGTGAAGTGAACTGAACTAACCCTTTAACTGAAGTGAACTGAGCTTAAGTGAAGTGAAGTGAACTAAACCAACCCTTTAACTGAACTGAGCTTAACTGAAGTGAAGTGAACTGAACTAACCCTTTAACTGAACTGAACTGAACTAACCCTTTAACTGAACTGAACTGAGCTTAAGTGAAGTGAAGTGAACTAACCTTTAACTGAACTGAACTGAGCTTAACTGAAGTGAAGTGAACTAAACCAACCCTTTAACTGAACTGAGCTTAACTGAAGTGAACTGAACTAACCCTTTAACTGAACTGAACTGAGCTTAAGTGAAGTGAAGTGAACTAAACTGAACTGAACTGAGCTTAACTGAAGTGAACTGAACTAACCCTTTAACTGAACTGAACTGAGCTTAACTGAAGTGAAGTGAACTGAACTAACCCTTTAACTGAACTGAACTGAACTAACCCTTTAACTGAACTGAACTGAGCTTAAGTGAAGTGAAGTGAACTAAACCTTTAACTGAACTGAACTGAGCTTAAGTGAAGTGAAGTGAACTAAACCAACCCTTTAACTGAACTGAACTTAACTGAAGTGAACTGAACTAACCCTTTAACTGAACTGAACTGAGCTTAAGTGAAGTGAAGTGAAAACCTTTAACTGAACTGAGCTAACTGAAGTGAACTGAACTAACCCTTAACTGAACTGAACTGAGCTTAACTGAAGTGAAGTGAACTGAACTAACCCTTTAACTGAACTGAACTGAACTAAATAACCTTTAACTGAACTGAACTGAGCTTAAGTGAAGTGAAGTGAACTAAACCTTTAACTGAACTGAACTGAGCTTAAGTGAAGTGAAGTGAACTGAACTAACCCTTTAACTGAACTGAGCTTAACTGAAGTGAAGTGAACTAAACAAAACCTTTAACTGAACTGAACTGAGCTTAAGTGAAGTGAAGTGAACTAAACCTTTAACTGAACTGAACTGAGCTTAACTGAAGTGAAGTGAACTGAACCAACCCTTTTAACTGAACTGAGCTTAACTGAAGTGAAGTGAACTGAACTAACCCTTTAACTGAACTGAACTGAGCTTAAGTGAAGTGAACTGAACTAACCCTTTAACTGAACTGAACTGAGCTTAAGTGAAGTGAAGTGAACTAACCAACTGAACTGAACTGAGCTTAAGTGAAGTGAAGTGAACTGAACTAACCCTTTAACTGAACTGAACTGAGCTTAACTGAAGTGAACTGAACTAACCCTTTAACTGAACTGAACTGAGCTTAAGTGAAGTGAAGTGAACTGAACGAACCCTTTAACTGAACTGAACTGAGCTTAACTGAAGTGAAGTGAACTGAACCAACCCTTTAACTGAACTGAACTGAGCTTAACTGAAGTGAAGTGAACTGAACTAACCCTTTAACTGAACTGAACTGAGCTTAAGTGAAGTGAAGTGAACTGAACTAACCCTTTAACTGAACTGAACTGAGCTTAAGTGAAGTGAAGTGAACTAACCTTTAACTGAACTGAGCTTAAGTGAAGTGAAGTGAACTGAACTAACCCTTTAACTGAACTGAGCTTAACTGAAGTGAAGTGAACTGAACTAACCCTTTAACTGAACTGAGCTTAAGTGAAGTGAAGTGAACTGAACTAACCCTTTAACTGAACTGAACTGAGCTGAAGTGAAGTGAACTGAACTAACCCTTTAACTGAACTGAACTGAGCTTAAGTGAAGTGAAGTGAACTGAACTTACCCTTTAACTGAACTGAACTGAGCTTAAGTGAAGTGAACTGAACTAACCTTTAACTGAACTGAACTGAGCTTAACTGAAGTGAAGTGAACTGAACTAACCCTTTAACTGAACTGAACTGAGCTTAAGTGAAGTGAACTGAACTGAACTAACCTTTAACTGAACTGAACTGAGCTTAACTGAAGTGAAGTGAACTGAAAACCTTTAACTGAACTGAACTGAGCTTAACTGAAGTGAAGTGAACTGAACTAACCCTTTAACTGAACTGAACTGAGCTTAAGTGAAGTGAACCTTTAACTGAACTGAACTGAGCTTAAGTGAAGTGAACTGAACTAACCCTTTAACTGAACTGAACTGAGCTTAAGAGAAGTGAAGTGTATGTTATGACCTGTGCATCTCACAGTGAAGTGTTGTTGTGGTCCTCAGGTGCGTTCCTGGTGCCGTACCTGCTGATGCTGGTGGTGTTGGGGATCCCACTGCTGCACATGGAGCTGACACTGGGCCAGTACCTGCGGAGGGGACCCGTCCTGGCCCTCGCCAAAGCCTGTCCGCTGCTGAAAGGTAATCACGACGTTAAAATCCCCAAAGTCAATGCTATACAAGTCCTTCAGATCAGATCAATACAACCGCTGATATGAGAATATATGGTTCAGTTCCGACTAAAGGTCAGTAACCTGTAATCAATCTATCCAGGTGTCGGCATGGCAACGGTGGCCATCTCTTTCATCATGTGCACATACTATAATGTCATCATCACGTGGGCTATGTACTACATGTTCAGCTCGTTTCGAAGCGAGCTGCTTTGGGAAAACTGCAACAACACCTGGAACACGGCAAACTGCTCGGACCGGGTGAGCAACAGCTCCTCGTCCTCCACCGCCAGCCAGGAGTTCTTCAAGTGTGTGCATTCCCTCTTCTTCTTAATCATTTAATAGATAAAAACCAAGCCAAGCGGCGCTATAGCACTTCATGCAATACCGATTCATGCCTTAAAATAGCTTGAATGTAACTCGACACCCTCGCCTCATTTAGAATGCACAGTTCTATGAATATGCAAATGAGCCCCGCCTCCACTCACTCACTCAGAGATCCACTGGTTGACGATCGCACGTTGATCTGATTATTTACAAGGTGGTTTGTGACGTCAGAAACACCAAAGCGTGTTTTTGAGACGCGTTTTCAGTTTTAAGGAGGAAATACTCAGCAATGCTGTCCACTTATCAACTTACACATGTGACATGGTGTGTGTTAAAGCATATTAATAACACCACATAGACCTGATTTTCACCACAGGGGGACTTTTAAGATGCTGAAAAATCAGCTTTGCGATCTCAGGAACAAGAGAGTGTAGGGAAAGAGGGGATGGTTGTAACATTTTTGACCTTTCTGCAGTGTTGTAATCGAGACCACCTCACTCGAGTCCGAGTCAAGACCGAGTCCATAGAGAGTCGAGTCCGAGACCAGAGACGGTCGAGTCCAAGTCGAGACCGAGACCAGTGAGGGTTGATTACCTAATTTACTTTTATTTACTTAGAGAAATCCTTCTCTTTTTTTTATTTTACTGAATTTACTTAGAGTTTAAAAAATATGATCAGTTTAGGTAAAAAGGCCACATAGTAGGTGGTGTTAAAAGCAATTTTATCACAATTTGTCATGCGCAGTTGCGCACTAGAAAATCACCAATCACTGGGCGTGTCAATCAATTTAAAGAAATATTTTATTAACATACATTAATAATCATGAAAAATATTTTGAATTGAACACGAGTGGACTCGGGAATAATTCCGAGTCCTAAAAAAAAAAATGTTCGAGTACGAGTCAATTCCGAGTCCAAATGGACACGAGTCCATGACAAGACCAAGACCATTAAAATATGGTCTCGAGACCGAGTCCGAGTCTTGAGTACTACAACACTGCCTTTCTGTCTATATCTTGTAGTACTTTTAAGCCAGTGTGTTAAAAATGTGATTCAAAGTCTCTGCTATCAAATTACATACAATGCATGGTTTAGTTTCAAACACAAGGAGTGAAAAAATAATTTGACCAAAAAAATAAATAAAATAAATTGACTTTTCAAATTGATCTGATGTGTGAGTGTCACTCTTAGTCTTAGTAATTGACCATTATAAATTTAATTTGAACAGAGTAAACTTGTTTGTTACTGTCAGTCATAGTTATGGCCATGATAAAATTGATAACATGATAATGATAACAGGCAAAACATTAGCACCAACAACTTGCTCAAAAATATCTACACAGACACACAAGAAACATCATTTCAATCTGATGGGTTTAACTATAAAGCAGAAATTCCAACTTTCATACCTCAAAATTGTTTTTTTCCACTCTAACATCTGCTGTGTTTGCCACAGTGAAATGAGGACTAAACTGAGCATGTGCGAAGTGAATCACGGGATTTGCAAGTTCCTGATTGGACAGATTGGAATTGTTACAACTGACCCCGGTTTCACCTATATTTTAAATGTGCATTAATATAAAATAAACAAAGTTTTATTATATATTAAATTTAAAAAACAGGTATTTTAAATTGCGAAAATATCTCACAATATATTACTGCATTTTAATTCAATAAATACAGCCTTGGTGAGCATAAGAGGCTGTTTTAAATACACACTTAAACAACATTAAGAGCTGGATTTACACCACAGGAGGATTTTAAAACGTAACTAAACTCAGTTACATCTCTCGTCAATGTCAAAATGATTGAGATGACCAATGAAATCAAAGGAGGCGGGGCTTCACTTCACAGAAGCTGAGGTAGTCTACTGGAAGTAGCTAAATATTTAATTTTAACTAATGTTTTACAATAAAAATGCTAAACGTCCAACAATACCTAGTGATGCAAACGACTCAAGCGCTTGTGAAACGTGTGCTGAACTGTAATGAATGTGCACGAGTCACTCTCATGACTGGTTTCTAAACACACTTTAAGACGTGCACTTTTTAATAATGTCAAAATAAAAGTTTTACTTTAAAGAATATTTTAAATGATTTAATCTTTTGTTGTGCTTCAAAAAGTACATGTGTGTAACTTGATGTGGTGTGAAGTGCTTTTTTGAGATTAAATTTAAAGTTAAGACATTTTTTTAAATTTCCTAAATGTGACGTTAGAATATTTAACTATAAATATATAAGATCAAATTATTTATTTCAAAACGTGTCATAGAATTGACTATATTTCAGTTTACCAGTATATTCAGCAGTGCACTTTAACCATATTTTAAAGACGATAGACAAAATCATATATGGGTCAGAACTTCAACTAATTGCATTTAATATAATTTAATTTAAATTAATACATTTTTATTTAATAGCAAATAAGTGTCCAAAAACAAAACATTCGGTTTGCACTTACACAAAATAGTATTTCCATAATAAGAGCACTTTTTAAAAGTATATGCAGAAGTGGGCTTCTTTTTTGTCAAATTTCTTGTAATTCATAACTGAATATGATGATAGGAGAATGCAAGTTTAGAACGCGTACAAACAGAGTCCGTGCAGTTGATTGTAGATGCAATAAAAACGATCTCTTTAATACTGGCTTTAGTAAACATGATCGCGAACTTCCAGTAGACTTTCCTTGTTCACATATACACAAAAAGCCATACCTTATAGACCGCATACAACTAAAATTGTCCTTCCAAGCTACTCTATCGTGCGGTCACGCACACACCTGTGGCTCAGAGGATCTAATTACACACAGCCCCACCCAGTGGACAAAAACGTTACTACCCCCCAAATAGCTTATACATGCATTATTTTAAAAATATGCACACATTTTGTACAACAAAAACCGCTCAAGACATGGTTACGGCCTTGCTTGATTGGTCAGTGAAGTGTTCTGATGTTGACTGTGTGTGTGTGTGTGTCAGTTTTAAGGTGCTGGAGAGGACCAGTGGTGTGGAGGAGACGGGTATCTTGAGATGGGAGCTCTTCCTCCTGCTTCTGCTGGCCTGGATCCTCGTCTACCTCTGCATCTTTAAAGGGGTCAAATCCACCGGGAAGGTGAGCACACACAGTCGGAGTCGGAGAGTCAAATTTTTTATTTATGTGTTTTTTTCCCCAAGAGCATCATGATATTATCATGTTACCTTCTCCTAAATGCCATGCCAATACATTACTGCAAATTCAGAACAGATGGAAAATACATAAATCATAGTCATGCACTGAATTATATATTATTTGAATGACAACGAAACTCACCTTATCCTTAATCACTATCCTTTTATTTGTATTTCTCTCCAGATGTTCCATGTTTATTATGTCAGTAAGTTGATCTTTGCACATGTTGGTCACAGGTTGTGTACTTCACCGCTCTGTTTCCATACGTGATCCTCCTGGCTCTGCTGATCAATAACGTGCAGCTTCCGGGAGCCATCGACGGCATCCGCTTCTTCATCATCCCCGAGTGGGACAAGCTCCTCAATGTGGAGGTGCGGGTTAACCACACATTGTCATTTATCAATCAAATACCACCTGTTTTATAGTTCAAATGATTAGTTTGACGCACAAAAAGCAGTGCATTTGTTAGTAAGCCTATATATGATATAGTACGAACATCCTTAAATCATGAATGAAAGTGCGTATCTATACCACGAATTTAATTTCTCGTGTCAATTATACGGCAAAAATAGTTTTTGCTTGTATATGATACGCAGTTTTCACGTGAATATGATACGCACTATTTGGCGTGTAATACGCACGCGCTCCCCTAAGTGAATAATTACAGTGCGTAGCATCTGCACGCAAAAAACATTTTTGGCGTATAAAATAGCACGAGAAAAAAAATTCGTGGTATAAACCAATCCGATCTCACGGGAATAAACGCGCCTTCATAAGATCGTGTTGGAATGACTTGTTCTATGAAAAATGTAGCCTATGAAACAAAATGTGTAAGACTTTATGCTTAAAACAAGAATAATTATCTACTATGAGGTCAGAAAATAAACTTGCTTCAAAGGGAAATTTTTATTTTTCTGACCCCACTGGCAGATTCGTGTTCTTGTTTTAAACAGTGATTTCATCTTGATTTAAGAAATGTTTGATATTTGTAATGAAAAACAAGACAAACATGCTAAGTAAGATTTTTTTTATAGTGTACTTATGTTTAATACATTTACAAAAAAAAAGTTTTTTGTAGTCTTTAACTGCATTAATGTTCACTTTTGGCCCTCTAGCGGTTGAGATTTAGCGGCTCCATGTCAACCGTTCTCGCTTGTTGTGACGTGATGATCTCTGCCACACACACACACACACACAACCTTTTTAAGTGATTTAATTGCCCTGTATACTTCTTTTTTATTATTAATTTATTTTATTTATTTTTGTTATTGTCTCCTAAATTATTGTTTTGGTTGATATTATGTGATGTATGCTTTCACTTTTGTATTGTGTATCCTGTTCTCAGCATTAAAACACACACACACACACACACACACACAAATTTACAACTTTACTTTACGGATATGATGAGACACACACGGACGAGTAAGCAATATTTTGCGGGCAACATACTATTTATGTATTCCGTGGCTAGCTATTTTTATTGTATTTTTATTTATTTATTATTAATTATTTTACTTAAATGGAATAATTGTAATGCAAAAAATAAATAAATAAATAAAAAAATTTGAGGGCAATTTCCCACGTTATTTAGTCATATAAATATAGCGAGTTATATAAATAGGCCTGCTTATAGAAGCCTTATGTAAATCAGAGCAAGACAAAAACATGCGTTGAAAGAAAGATCGATGATGTATTGACTATTTAATTTTTAACCAGAAAAACAGGCTTACCTTTGGCAGCCCTCTTTAAAAAAACGAATGATGGATGTGAATGATTGAGAAATGAAAAGTGTGTGTGTGTGAGACAATGCTCGTTGTCGTCCAGTTACACATTATGTTTGTTTGACTGTGTTTCATATTAACATTGTGTAATGTGTGTGTGTTTAGGTGTGGATTAATGCGGCGGCTCAGATCTTTAACTCTATAGGGATCGGCTTCGGCTCGCTGATGGCCATGTCCAGCTACAACAACTTCAACAACAATATCCTCAAGTGAGAGAAGATCGTATTATCATCATCTCCATCTGGTTGCATGCAACACACCATCTACTTTCCTGAAAGTTATATAAAATCTAGTTGTATCGCTCTATAGAGCGAAGTTCACAGTGATAGGCCTAATTCATTTATTGCTCTCGTTAATTTATACTGCCATGTGTTTAATGTTATATCATCAGTGAGCAGATAGAAATTAAATAAGATATTCATTACACTGTAAAAAAAAATATTGAAGGTTTAACTTAAAAAAGTAAGTAACCTGGTTGCCTTAAATTTTTAAGTTCATTGAACTGGAAAAAGTGAGTTAATACAATGAAGGAGATTAATTTAACCATCAGAAACTCCAAATTATATGTTATCTGAACTAAATAAATTATTTAAGTTGATTTGACAAAAGAAAAAATGTTGTGATTACTACACTGCAAAATATATTGTTGGTTTAACTTAAAAAAGTAAGTAATCTGGGTTGCCTTAAAATTTTAAGTTGATTGAACTGGAAAAAGTGAGTTAATACAATGAAGGAGAATGATTTAACCATCAGAAACTCAAAATGATATGTTATCTGAACTAAATAAATTATTTAAGTTGATTTGACAAAAGAAAAAATGTTGTGATTACTAAATTGTAAAAAGATATATTGTTGGTTTAACTTAAAAAAATAAGTAACCTGGGTTGCCTTAAAAATTTTAAGTTGATTGAACTGGAAAAAGTGAGTTAATGCAATGAAGGAGATTAATTTAATCATCAGAAACTTAAAATAATAAGTTATCTCAACTAAATAAATTATTATAAAGTTAATTTGACAAAAGAAAATATGTTGCGATAACAAACCTTGAACATATTTTTTACAGTGTAATCTCATATTCATGCTTTTTTATTCCCGTCACCATAGAGATACTCTGGCCATCTCCATCACAAACTCCTTGACTAGTATTCTCGCTGGATTTGTCATTTTTTCTGCGTTCGGCTACATGTCTCATCTGCAGAATGTGCCCGTCAGTGAAATCGCAGTGGACGGTGGGTAATTTACGTCTTGCATCCAAGAACTGGCATTGATACATCTGCTGCATGGTGCATATCATAATTATTGCATCTGCATTAAATCTGCATGTTATAATAATTGTCCGTGCAGGTCCAGGTCTGGTGTTCGTGGTTTACCCACAAGCCTTTGTGACGATGCCCGTCGCTCCTCTGTGGGCCGTTCTCTTCTTCTTCATGTTACTCTGCCTCGGCCTCGACAGTCAGGTCTCATGACCACACTTTTTACCTACACTGTTAGACCTTACCAGGTTTTTTACAGTAAAATTTACTGTAAAAATGCACTAAAACTAATAAGTTGTATTTTTTAGTTAACTTGAGTTTTAGTGCATTTTTACAGTAAATTACTGGCAACAGTGAAAAAACCTGGTAAGGTCTAACAGTGTATACACACACCCGTTTATTGTGACCCGTGTTATATTATGCTAAAATGATGTTCATATAATGCATTTTTATTGCATTCATAAACACTCAAAAGTGGGTCAAGGTTTTAATGCATAACAAGAGACGAGGTCACATGATCTGCTTTCATTTTCTTTAATGCTGCTTGTATTTGCTTCTGTTATACTGTAAATACACAATTAAACATTGCTTGTGCATGCACTGTTAGACAATTACACAGTATTTAACTGTAAAATGAACTGTATTTTAATGTAGAACAGTTATACAGAATGTTACTGTATTTTAAATGATCAAAAGAATCAAGCTTTTTTTTAAATGCAAAATATTTATATTTGTGATGTACGATATATATACAGTGCCTTGCGAAAGTATTCGGCCCCCTTGAAATTTTTGACCTTTTGCCACATTTCAGGCTGCAAACATAAAGATATAAAACTTTAATTTTTTGTGAAGAATCAACAACCGGTGGGACACAATCATGAAGTGGAACGAAATTTATTGGATATTTCAAACTTTTTTAACAAATAAAAAACTGAAAACTTGGGCGAGCAAAATTATTCAGCCCCCTTAAGTTAATACTTTGTAGCGCCACCTTTTGCTGCGATTACAGCTGTAAGTCGCTTGGGGTATGTCTCAATCAGTTTTGCACATCGAGAGACTGAAATTTTTGCCCATTCCTCCTTGCAAAACAGTTCGAGCTCAGTGAGGTTGGATGGAGAGCGTTTGTGAACAGCAGTTTTCAGTTCTTTCCACAGATTCTCGATTAAATTAAGGTCTGGACTTTGACTTGGCCATTCTAACACCTGGATATGTTTATTTGTGAACCATTTCCATTGTAGATTTTGCTTTATGTTTTGGATCATTGTCTTGTTGGAAGACAAATCTCCGTCCCAGTCTCAGGTCTTTTGCAGACTCCATCAGGTTTTCTTCCAGAATGGTCCTGTATTTGGCTCCATCCATCTTCCATCAATTTGAACCATTTTCCCTGTCCCTGCTGAAGAAAAGCAGGCCCAAACCATGATGCTGACACCACCATGTTTGACAGTGTGGATGGTGTGTTCAGGGTGATGAGCTGTGTTGCTTTTACGCCAAACATAACGTTTTGCATTGTTGCCAAAAAGTTCGAGCACCTTCTTCCACATGTTTGGTGTGTCTCCCAGGTGGCTTGTGGCAAACTTTAAACGACACTTTTTATGGATCTCTTTAAGAAATGGCATTCTTCTTGCCACTCTTCCATAAAGGCCAGATTTGTGCAGCATACGACCATTGTTGTCCTATGGACAGAGTCTCCCACCTCAGCTGTAGATCTCTGCAGCTCATCCAGAGTGATCATGGGCCTCTTGACTGCATCTCTGATTAGTCTTCTCCTTGTATGAGCTGAAAGTTTAGAGGGACGGCCAGGTCTTGGTAGATTTGCAGTGGTCTGATACTCCTTCCATTTCAATATTATTGCTTGCACAGTGCTCCTTGGAATGTTTAAAGCTTGGGAAATCTTTCTGTATCCAGATCCAGCTTTAAACTTCTCCACAACAGTATCTCGGACCTGCCTGGTGTGTTCCTTGTTCTTCATGATGCTCTCTGTGCTTTAAACGGACCTCTGAGACTATCACAGAGCAGGTGCATTTATACGGAGACTTTATTACACACAGGATTCTATTTATCATCATTAGTCATTTAGGTCAACATTCAGGATCATTCAGAGATCCTCACTGAACTTCTGGAGAGAGTTTGCTGCACTGAAAGTAAAGGGGCTGAATAATTTTGCTCACCCAATTTTTCAGTTTTTTATTTGTTAAAAAAGTTTGAAATACCCAATAAATTTCGTTCCACTTCATGATTTTGTCCCACCTTTTGTTGATTCTTCACAAAAAATTACAGTTTTACATCTTTATGTTTGCAGCCTGAAATGTGGCAAAAGGTCGAAAAGTTCAAGGGGGCCAAATACTTTTGCAAGGCACTGTATGTATATTTATATTTAACATTTATATTTAACATTTATATTTAGATTTAACATTTAGATTTGGATTTAATATTTAGATTTAGATTAAACATTTAAGTGTAAGATTTAATATTTAGATTTAACTATTTAAAATATCTCTAAGTTGACAAATAGCTATAGATGTAAATGTGCTAAAAAGTGACCGTCAAAAATGTATACCAGTTTTTTAAACATACTTTGAAGCTAAATGTGACAAAATGTTGCTGTTATTTTCAGAGTGAGCCGCTTTACAAACGGCCCCCGTAGATATATCGCCCACCATTGGCCAATATGCTAATTTTTGATGTTATTGTTATTGGCCCGATAAGAAAATTTGGCTGATATATTAAAGCGATAAATAATAGATTATTTATTAATTGAGACACTTCAGATTCATCATGATAATTTTGAATTGCTTGAAATATTGGAAAATACAGTTCAGCAAGTCTGTCGTATCGGCTACATAAAATTACAATGACAATATTATTATAATTGTGTGCTTGGGAATTGGATTTTATTGGCGGGACACTTTTTGAACATTTGCCAAAATTTTCATACTTTATCTGTATTTTGAAGTAAAATGAAGCCATGTCTTTGTGTTAAATGATCTGTGATTTATAAAAGCGGGCTGTTCATTCACTCTGTTCATCTCACTGTCATGATAAAACATTAAGCAACACACGCATGAATGTTTGCTGGAGTAATCTTAGCTAACAAACGGTTGAACTTTACCTTGTGTTGTTGTTGTTGTTGTTGTTGTGTAGTTTGCTATGGTGGAGGTGATGGTGACCAGTCTGTTGGACAGTTACAGTAAACCCATCCTGAAGTACCTCAAACGCAAGGAGTTCGTTGTGCTCATCGTCTGCGGTGCGGCGTTCCTCATGGGCATCCCCAATGTCATGCAGGTCACATGATCACTTTTACTTTATTTGACTTTCAGCTTTTATAGACCATTTCACAAGATGTAAACAACACTGGTCCAGAAGCACTTCCTGTTTCAGTTTGTAACTGTTTTCTTTATTTCACATGTAAAGAAAACATCTTAAAGATGTTTGTTTAACTTTTTGATTCAGTTTTATATGTTCTGTTGGTTGTATTTTATCCCAGCTCTTATGTAGTGTTAAAAAACTGAAACAGGAAGTGCTTCTGGACCAGTGTTGTTTACATCTTGTGAAATGGTCTATAGGCTACTAACATTACAGGTGCTCTATGTAGACTTGAGAAACTCTTTTAATGGACACCGGTTGAACTGCAGCATCACTTACTGCTCGATCTCACACTCGAAATCACGAAACACGTCATTCAAGACAGGTGAAACTCGAAAAATGAGAATATGGTGCAAATTAAAGTTCATTTATTTCAGTAATTCAACTTAAAAGGTGAAACTAATATATTAATAATAATAATTAATTATTTTTATTATTAAACTGATATATTATATAGACTCATTACAGGCAAAGTGAGATATTTCAAGCCTTTATTTGTTATAATTTAAAAAATAAAATAAAAAACAAATAAAGGCTTGAAATATTTCACTTTGCATGTATTTTAGTCTATATAATATATTAGTTTCACCTTTTAGGTTGAATTACTGAAATAAATGAACTTTTACAGAGTTTCAAATGTACATCGTTCTTTGCTTAGAAGCAAATAAATTAGAAATACCTTTGCACTCTGCAGTGATTTACTGTTAACGATTTATTTTTAAATAAATGACACTTGCATTTAAATTGTGTTGTCTAATAATGCAATAATATTTGTGTTTGTATATCTACAAAAGTAATGTCTGGAGATTCGGTGTACAGTTATATCACTTATTACACAGCATTTCGCCACATAAGTAATTATGGGGATACGAGATATTAATTTCAGATTAAACTGTTTTAAAATCGTACCTGTAATAATCACAATAATACAAAATGGCCGCCGCGGCGTTTGTATTAACAAGAGAGAGAGAGCGAGTTCACGAGGATGGCATAATTAAATAACTCTACACAAAATATTGATTCGACTGAGTTTTATTAGCTTTTTTATTAGCTCACCTATGGCGGCATTATAATGTCAATAATCGCGAGAGGAAATAAAATGCTCGCGAGAGGAAATGAGATCCGCGCGCACACAATCAAAAGCCGCACGCGCACATATTACTTTTGCGAAATGTTATTATGTTATAATGTTGTCACATATTACTCACCAAATGCAAAACTTCCACGAAGAAAAAATCGTTCCTAGCGAGCGTATAACGCTGACTTCAGTCAGTGACCCTGGGATTGTGTGTTCAGCGCCATTGACCAATCAGATTCAAGTATTCCACAGAGCCGTGTAATAAATTTAATTAATTAAAGTTTTTGTTTTAAATTATATCGGCACAATTTGGCATGTTTGATTGCGTTATTACAAATAATAAAACAAATTGACGCCAAGCACAACTTATTGCATAGCCTTTAGCCTAGCCTAGTTGTGCTTGACGTCAATTTGTTTTAGCCTAATCTAAAAACAGTTTGTTTTAAATTTGTTTTATGCTTAGAAAATCTTAAATAATATTTAAATACATTTTTACTGCATTGCTTTAATAAAGCATTCATTATTGAATTGAATTGTTTAGCTATTGATCCAACAATCAGCTATCTTATATTCATATGAGTGCTGTTCTTCCTGTGGTCAAAAATCAGTATTACATATCAATTTTTTACAAAATAAAAAAAAATCATTATGATTTCATATAAACGATTGCAGATGCATTTATGTGTGTAAAGCAGATGTCTGCTAAAGTTAATGATCTTCTGCCTCAGGTCGGGATTTACGTGTTCCAGCTGATGGATCATTACACAGCGATCGTGTCCATCATGTTCCTGGCGTTCTTTGAAGTGATTGGTGTTTGTTGGATCTATGGTGAGAAACATCTGATGGATTGTGCCGTTCAACAAAACAAAAGTGTAAAAGAGCGCAGTCTTGGTTAACCTGAGCTGTGTTTGATAGGTGTGAATCGTCTGTCCAGTAATTTAATCGAGATGACGGGAAACAAACCCAACATTTTCTTCAGGGTGTGCTGGTGGGTCATCTGCCCGGTTCTGATAACCGTGAGTGCGATCTCTCTCTTACTGACAGATATAGGCTTGAAAACCCAACATGGATTGTGTTGGAACTGAGATGTGTGTGTGTGTGTGTGTCCAGGTGATCCTGGTGTTCTCCGTGATCCAGTTTAAACCCGCTCGATACGAGGATTACGTGTACCCGCCGTGGGCTCAGGCTGTCGGCTGGATCATCGCTCTGGCGTCCATCATTTGGATCCCTCTAGCGGCCGCTCACACACTCTGGGTTCTGCCCGGGTCCTTCGCTCAGGTACTGGACACACACACTCTCAGTCTCCGCTCCACCTTCCAAAAGCTTAATGGCTGGAGAAGCATTTATTTCAACGTTTGGGGTTGGAAAGATTTTTTAAAGTTTTTCAAAAGACGTCTCTTCTGCTCACAAAAGCTGCATTTATTTGATCAAAAATACAGGAAAAACAGTGAAATATTATTATAATCTAAAATATCTGTTTTCTATGTGAATATATAGTAAAGTAGGCTATAATTTATTCCTGTGATCAAAGCTGAATTACTGAATTACTCAAATCCTAATCATCAAATTCAATTATTTAGATCTAATATAATTCTAATATGATGATTTGATGCTCAAGAAACATTGATGATCATTATCGGCATCGAAAACAGTTCACGTGTTTGTGGAAACTGCTACATTTTATTTTCCAGGATTCTTAGAAAGTTAAAAAGAACAGATTTGATTAATTGAAATTGAATCTTTTGTAACATTATAAATGTCTTTACTGTCACTTGTGATCAAAAAATCGTATACTGTCCTCAAAATGTTGAAAGGCAAGTCAGAAGTTAAATGTTTAAGAATATTTGGCCTATCCAGTAAAAAAATATATAATTAGTGTATAGTATTTTTAAAAATATATATTTAAAAAAAAGATAGTTTAAAACAAATATATAATAAAAAACTATCTTTAATATACACTCTAAATGCTGGGTTGTTTTAGCCCAATTTTGGGTAAAATATGGACAAACCCAACTATTAGGTAAAAATTATAATTTAAAAATGTTACCCAATGGCTGGGTTTGTCCATATTTTACCCAAAATTGGGTTAAAACAACCCAGCATTTTTTAGAGTGTGTATATATATATATATATATATATATATATATATGTATATATATTTAAAGACAGATTAGCCTACTGCACCCTAAAAAATGCTGGGTTGTTTTAACCCAAATTTGGGTCACAAATGGACAAATCCAGCCATTGGGTTATATTTTGAAATTATATTTTAACCCAACGGTTGTTTTTGTCCATATTTGACCCAAATTTGGGTTAAAACAACAGCATTTTTTAGAGTGTGGAGTACATTTTATAAGGAAATACTATTTCAGTCTTTCTACTTCGAAATGTTTGAATCAATTTTCACTCATTTCATAAATTGCTATTCTAAAATATGGACAAACCCAGCCATTGGGTTAAAAATGTAATTTAAAAATGCAACCCAATGGCTAGGTTTGTCCATATCTTACCCAAAATTGGGTTAAAACAACCCAGCATTTTTTAGAGTGAGTGATTCCAGTATGTTGTATATGATCAGACTTTGTGCTTTTCTCTGGTTTCAGAAACTAAAACAGTCGGTCACCCCGTTCTCTCTGGACGAGGACTCCGAGAGCCCGTATTACCAGGAGAAAGGAGCCGTTCTGGAGGTGATCCCCAACATCGCCATCATCAGCTCTGAAAAGAAAACATCCATCTAGACTAACTTATGAACTTATTAAACCTGACACTGGATCACTGGATCACAACAAGACTGATCAAATCCAGTCAACTGGAAACCATGAAGATCTGTCTGACATATCAGCCGAAATATTTATCTCCACTATGATAGAGCCCATTTTGTACTTAGAACTGAATCTCCTGAAAAGACTGAAGTAGAAACAAGCGATTTAAAATAACACAATCATCATTAAACAGCATATCAATCAAAAACTGTATAATGAAATCATCGTTATGAATGTCCAGACAGAAACGTGATTTTCTCAGCTTTTAGTTGGAAATTTTGCTTTTTTATGAAACTTATCCACAAGTTTTGATAAAAAAAAGAATGCTTTACACTAGAATAAAATTCTTTTGATATATTATGTTGTTCAGTTTTTTATACAACAAAGTATCCTGGGGTAAAGTTTTGTGAAAAAGATGAGAAACGCTGGAGTTCATACATGTTTGGCTGAGATTCCTGAATCCTACACACTTTTAAGGTTTACTATATATTTGTGCATTACAAAACCAACCCGATCACACTAAATGCGTCACTATAGCACGCAGTGTGTTTATCGTGCAATTTATACACAACAATGAGTTTTAATATGCATATGATATGCAGGGGTTGATTAGGGTAGGTTTAGTAGTGGCATATTTGCATATAAATTGCACAATAAAACACAATAATTTCATGTTGAGATCATTCAAATAAACCCATTAACTGCACCAAGAAAAGGACATTTGCATTTCTGATCTCCTTATGTCGCAATAACCACACTCAATGCATTTATTGTCAACACATCCTATCATTTTTTAAATATCGGCCTGTAACAAATGGTTGATATGTCACTTAAGGGCAAAAAAAGATGAAAATCTGAAAATATGACATGTAATACTGATTTATTTAAAAACAATCAAAATAAAATTGTTTTGTATATTGAATCTTCTTTAACGTACGCTATTAAATATTTCAGGTTTTCATTTGAACAAAAAATATATTTTCTTGTTTTTTTTTAACAATAAACACTAATAAATAACATAAATCCAAAGAGATAACATTTGTTGCACCAAAAAAGAAGCAAAATATAGTAATATAATGGCATTCGAGGCTTTTATGTTTCAAGAAACATGCCGTCAAGTGTCTTTACCCATCATAATTTATAATCAAAATCTTGACAAAACACATCGAGTCTCAAGGTTCCATATTTTGTAACATAAATGTATTAATTTGAATGCATACAATTAAATTCAATGTATGACTGTATGTCACCCGGTGGCTGTGTTTGGTATTACGCCTAAACAAAATCTCATGGGAACTTTAATTTGTTGTGACATCAACTTCAAATTTGGAACATGACTTAGAGATATGGCTAAAAATATTATAAAAACATACTAAAGTTTTTTTCGTGGCACCAAGTAACAATTTCCTACAGTGTAATATGTCACAAAAATATGCTTACATTGCAAAATATCACCAAAAAGGAGTGATTTATTTGATTCTGACAAGTGCTCTGATTGATCTAGTAGATTATTTTGGCATAACGTACATCAACAAAGTTATTCTCTCTCAATAAAATATAGCGACTCAAAAAAACACATCTCAATCTCTTCTGTTTTGGAGACCAAGGCAAGAAAAGAAGGACGAGTCATTAGTTGTGGCCACTGTGTTTTATTGTCATTATCAGGTGTTTTATCAGCGTTCTGGGCGTGATGATTGAAGGACAGGCCAACATGAGATAAAACCCTTCCTCTTCAGGGTCAGGCGCTGAACTTTAACCTCACTGTGATCAACACTGGCCCTTACTTACAGTAATAGTTCCTTATTTGTACATCTTCAGTTTTTATAAGAGTTAAAAGCTGACATTCATGCAAATTCATAATTAATCCATGCTAAAAACATACAAACCAAATAGCGTTAACATTGGGCAGAGTTCATGTGGATTTATACATTATAACAGAATCCCTTCAGATTAACACTCGATTGTGTGTTTCCACCCTTAAAGTGTGTGTGAATCTCACGGAAACATGTCCAAGGTCACAGTTCACCCTAAACTAAAGAAAATTATTTTATAACAATTTTTCGTTAAGTGATTATATTAAATCTGCCATATTAAATACTTTAGTTTAAAATATAACATTACAGTATTTTGTAATTGTATTAAAAATTAAAGAAAAAAAAATAATGTTTTTTTTTAAACATAAAATATGCATAAAGGCAACACAACAAACAGTACCATGATTAATAAATCCTCTTTTTTTTTTTAATTATAATAATTAGAATTGAGGGAAAACATTCTTTCCATGAAATAATGTCACAAATAAATGTCCTTAATTTTCATGCAAATGTGAACTGGACAGGTTTCATGAGAATTTCATATTTAATTTATTTCGTATTTGCTGAATAGTTCAATTAAGATTATATTTACCCAAATATAAAAGAGTTTAACCGAAAAGAATTTATAAGGAATTTATCCATAATCAATAATCATCAGTATATAAGTATTATTTCAGTGTCCTCGACGCCAGTGTCATCCCTTCAGTGTAAAGACATTGATCAGGTTTCTGATGTGGAGTGTGTCTGCAATCATTTCATCTCTCTTAGGAAAATCATGCGCTTGATTTCATTTCATAAAAGCTGGAGCCTCGAGGAACGCACGGTATACAGTCCACGGTAAATACGGTATCAGAACCACATCTACACACAATTCAAGTTTGACTACAGTAATTAACATCACCCGCACCGATCGCCACACACTCTCAAACAGATATGCAATATGACCTACAAATAAAATAAAAAGAGCAAAATGATGTGCAATTCATAGCATACTCATCTCTGTATGAGCGTTGACAGATGACAGTGTCCAACAGAAACACTTCTCATCTTTTGTTCCAGTTTCCCGCATGAAAGGCCGAGTTCCCCTTGTGTTTGAGACTGCGGCAGCAGAGCGTGTGTGTCTGTACATTTACCCAGAGGTCCTCCGGACGCTCTCGCATGCTACCCGATGATCTGCAAACCCAAATTCCCTTCATCCAGTTCTTTAAAACGAGGTGTAGTGCATGTTCTGTCCAGCAGGGGGCGCCGCTCCCCGTCCTACGACACTTGCTCCACCGGCCGCATCTGCACGTCACCGATCTGAGGAGAAAAGGCGCGCTTTTAACAACAAAGGCCGTTTCACAGAGATAAACATACGAGTTAAAAGGTTAGTTCACACAAAACATGAGAATTGATGATTTACATTGGAATAGCATCACTTTTGTACTGTATTTTTGATCAATAAACACAGGTAGTGTGCGTGTGTATTTATCGAGGACTCACTTGAACATGAGCGGGCGCGCTCAGGACGAACGTAACGGCATTCGCGATGTCTTCTGCTTTCAGACACTGAAGACGGAAAATATAAGTGATGCAGTGACACTATGGCAAGCCGTTTCAGCTTTTATTCATTTCCAGGATATGAATTCTTGATATCAACAATTTAATTGCTGATATCTGTAATAGAGTGCCGATGTTACGACGTCACTCTGTAGGCCAAAACGCGGAAGTGAGTTAGCATTTTAGCACTCCCGGCTCCCTCGCTCTAAAGCCTATGGGATTTTTGAATGGGTTTTTGCTAAATGGCCTGAAATAAGGTCTGTGGTGAACAAATCCTCTAAATATTTTCAAGTTTTGATCTATGACATAGAACACACAGTTATAACCTGCTTGTGGTTTTTTTTTGTGTCTTTATTGTGTCCGATTGTGTTTTTTAAAATCTTTATATAGGCTTCAAAATGTATACATTTTGGATTAACTTGTAAAGATTATCTTGCTAGACAAAACGTGTAAGGGTCGCAACTCTTTGTTGAACACAGATCTTATTTTTTGCGATTTTCCAAAAGTCTATGGGGAAAATGCATTGCTTTTCGACCGAGGGAACCCATGCGCTGCTAGCTTCCGGGTTGTCCTACAAAGTGACGTCATCGCTTCGGCACTCTATTGTATTTTCACTAGTGAAATTTCACCATAGGCTGCCATTCAAAATGAATTGTTGATATCAAGAAGTAGAAATATAATTTTTGATATCAATAATTGCATTGTTACTAGTAAAAATGTGAATTCCTGATATCAATAATTAAATTGTCTCTAGTTGAAATGTCTATTCTTGATATCAACAATTCAATTGTTACTTGTAAAAATTATAATGTTTGATATCTGAAAATGTATTTCTGATATCAATATTATTTCAGATATCTAAAATGGCTTTCTTACTAGTAACAATCACATTCATGATATCAGAAATTAAAATTGTCACTAGTAAAAATCATTGTTACTAGTAGCATTTCAATTGTGGATATCAAGAATAGTCATTTCAACTAGTAACAATTGAATTCTTGATATCAAAAATAAAGGTTTTTACTAGTAATAATTGTATTTCTGATATGTGAAATAGAATTTCAACTAGTAAGAAATCAATTCTTGATATCAACAATTGGTTTTGAATGGCAGCCTATGGTGAATTTAATTGTTGATATCAATAACTTAATTGTTGATATCAAGAATTCATATCCTGGAAATGAATAAAAGCTGGACACGCATGAAGACACACACACACACACACGCACTCCGTCATGCACGCACACATTCATAAACAATCTCACACACACACAAACACACACACACACGCCGTCTCTTTACCTTTATACTCTCATACACACCCGCAGCTCGCTCTGGGTCGCTGTTGTGATGCCGGAAGGCAAACTCAGTTTCCACTATTCCAGGAGATATACTCTGGGGAAACGGACAACGACGGGTTTAGAAATATTACTGTGATTTCATCTTTTAAAAACATTTCATCTTTGTTGTAATTTTCCTTTTTTTTAATTTAATTAATTATTTGCTCTTTTGTATGGGAGTCCCTGATCGGAATAGCATGCGTGTGTGTGTGTGTGTGTGTGAGTTTGTATGAGTGTGTTTACAGTTTTTTCCCAATTGCTAACACACAATTTTGCAAACCAGTCTGGTTTTATCAAAATACTTAACACAATTCACAAAACCACAAAATAGCTCATATATCCTGCAAATCAAAATCAAACTTTTGCATGAACTGGCACACACAGATTTGTGCCTAAACAACGACACACTGTTGGGCATAATAAAAAAAAATCACTCCTATCTTTAGTATGCTTTGCCATAATACTAAAATATGCATCAGATTGTTCACAATCACAGAAATATTTGCAGACACACACATGCTGTTGAAACTTGTATTTTTTCACTACAGTAAACAAGTAATATTTACATGGGACTGAAAACTAAAAATTCTAACAAAAAACAGTAAACTGAAAAAGAAACTTCCAGAAAATATATTACAGTAAAAAAAAATATTGGTAACACTTTACAATAAGGTTCATTAGTTAATATTAGTTAACTACATTAGTTAACATGTACAATATGTGAACAATAATGTTTTAATTTAATCATGTTTTGATTTGTTGTTCTTGTTGAATGTATTTTATGAGCTTCTATGTATGTATAAGTATTGTTGATAGTTTGAATGTATTTTATCGGTTATTACATCTGCCCAGTGACTACAGTTGAAAATTAGCCAAGATGGCTAAACTGGCACATTTACGCAAGCGTTTATTAATGTGCATGGTCCCTGTAACTTTAAACTGATTAAATAAATAAAAATACTTCTTCAGCATTTATTAATCTTAGTTAATATTAATTCCAACATTTACTAATACATTTACAAAGGTTGTATTAGTTAACATTAGTTAATGGACTGCGAACTAACATGAACGCACAATGAACAGCTGTATTTATATTAACTAACATTAATAAACATTTTAACTAATGCATTGCTCATCGTTAGTTCATGTTAGTTAATGCATTTACTAATGTTAACTAATGAACCTTATTGTAAAATGTTACCAAAATATTTTTTATAGTTTTATAGTTTTTATAGTGCTTACATCCTGATTGAAGTGTTAACAATTAACCCTTGAGGTGTTTGGCCAGATGGCACATGTAATAGGGTGACCACCCATCCCGCTTTGCGTTGTACTGCACAGCATTTTCACCGCTTGTCCCGCACGTCGCATATTGAGGAAATGTCCCGCATTTAGTTTTTAATTATCATATTAAGAAAACGTGCATGCATTCTTTTGCCTTTTTAAGAAAGCATTTCGTCATAAGTAGCCTACAAATACAACAGCTGTGTTTTATATACTATCCAATGGTTGAAAAGAAAGGAGTAAACACGGTTACTCGTAGGTTGTGACAGCTGTCAATCAAAATGTGGACCGGTGATTCGTTCCATATGTCGGAAAACAAATGGATAATTCGGTAAATTAAAATTTTAATTTAACGGAATATTATTGTTGTTGTTTAACCTGTTGTGGTTGTTTTAATTCAAATTCTTTCTAAAAATATGAAAGTTTTTGCTTTTGGTTTTTAATATATTCTTAATATATAGGACTGTCTATCTAATTTCATGTTGTTTTATATTTTATTTGTTCATTGCTTATTTTGTTGGATTTTTGTTGGAGTTGGTCAGAACTGTTTCTAAAATATTTATATTATACATGATTCCTGCTGCCTTTGGGCTCAGTGATGTTGAATTTAAATGAAATGTAAAGTAAAGATGTTTTTTCTGGAAGGGACTAAAGAACAAATCATTTTTATCAGCTAAAAGGCAGAATATAAATGTTTTGATCAAGTTAGATAGACATTATATAACAGTTTCAGGGTATGTTTTAGTGTTACATGTCCCATTGTCCCACACAAACTTATAATTGTCCCACATTTGGTTTGTTTGATGGTGGACACCCTACACACTCATGTAGTGTCATTTTGAATGGTAGTGTTTAGAAATGGCAAACATGTGACTTTATGTCAGATTGTTGTGTCTTATGCAGAGAACTGTGTTCAGTGCATTTAAAAAGTGCCATTTTGAAATGCAAAATGTGTGTAAAGCAGAAAATGTGTTTCGACTTTTGGAAACTTGAGAAGAAGTTTTGCTCTCTGTGTGTCCGTTTAAAGAATTGTGCTGTGCATGTCATTTTACTGTGTTAGCAATTGGAAAAAATGAGTGTGTGTATGAGTGTGTTTGTATAAATGTGTATGTGATTGTTAATTGAGTGAACATTTTCATAATGTTCTCAGTAAAGCTGCTTTGTACGGAGGCGTATTGCATTCACTTGAAGAAAAAAAATCTACTCTGTTTTTCTGAATTAACAAGTTAATTTTTCATGAGAAAAAAAATGCTCTGTTTTTCTGAATTAATGAGTTAATTTAACAGAGCAAAAAAAAAAAATTCCATTAAAAATTAACTCATTAATTCAGAAAAACAGAGCAAAAATTTTTTTCTCATGAAAAATTAACTCGTTAATTCAGAAAAACAGAGCAAAAAATTTTTTTTTCTCATGAAAAATTAACTCATTAATTCAGAAAAACAGAGCAAAAAAAATTTTTCTCATGAAAAATTAACTCGTTAATTCAGAAAAACAGAGCAAATTTTTTTTTTCTCATGAAAAATTAACTCGTTAATTCAGAAAAACAGAGCAATTTTTTTTCTCATGAAAAATTAACTCGTTAATTCAGAAAAACAGAGCAATTTTTTTTCTCATGAAAAATTAACTCGTTAATTCAAAAAAACAGAGCAATTTTTTTTTCTCATGAAAAATTAACTCGTTAATTCAGAAAAACAGAGTACATTTTTTTTCTTCAAGTGAATGCAATACGCCTCCGTAGCTTTGAAACGGTGTGTGTTGTAGAAATAAAGCTGAGTGTGTGGAGTGGTGTGAGTCAGACTGACGACATATTGGCCAATCCTCACTTTCTGAGAGCGCTTTAAAGGCTTGTTTGAGGGTCAAGACCTGGTTTGTGTGTGTGGAATGCGTGAGTGTGTGTGTGTGTGTGTGCTCACCGTGGCTCGTATGTGTGTTTTGGCCTCCCGTAGCTCCTGTCTCAATCCTTCTGTCATGGCGGTCACAGCATATTTGGTGGCGCAGTAAAAGTGTTCGTCAGCGCTGGGCACCATCCTGTGACCCCCCATACTGCAGACAGATCAACAACAGCCTCAGGTGTGTGTGTGTGTGTGTGTGTGTGTGTTATCATTACCCTCAGTAAAGCTGCTCTGAAACCATCCGTATTGTAAAAAGCGCTATTTTAATAAATGTGACTTGTGTGTGTGTGCTGTTAAAGGGCTCAAAGCAAGTGAAGCTAAAGCGCCTTGATCGCCCCCTGGTGGCCGCTTGCAGTGCATGTCATAAACCCCGCCCCCTCTCCATGGAATCTGATGGGATGTGAGCCCCAAATTCAAACTTCAAATAATTTAGTTCTATGTAGTTCTATAGGCGTACCGTCATGATTGACAGCTGTGCTTGCGAATAAGGATTGTGGGTGGGACCTTGATGCCATGATCACTATTTTAGCGAAGTGGAGATAGTCTGAGGCTCAGTGAAGCAGGAGTACCTGTTGATGTTGATGATGTGTCCGTCGTCCACGTTTCTCTCCTTCATGGACTGGTAGGCCTCACGCGTGCAGATGGCCAGAGCGAGGACGTTGACCTGCACATGGATGATAAAGATCCAGATCACGTGACATCCAGGTCATATTTTACCCCAAAAAACAGTAAAGTGTGGCTCTAGCAGCGACGCCAAAGTCAAAATTATACTTCTTTTTTTTTGTGTGTGTCCAGAAAGCTTATTTTAAAATTTATATTTTGAAAAATTAACTCGTTAATTCAGAAAAACAGAGTAGATTTTTTTTTCTTCAAGTGAATGCAATACGCCTCCGTACATTTCATCTTGATAATATTTTTTCTCTTTTTTTTAATGCAGATTTTTGTTTTACCTTTAAATGACTAGATTTGATAAATAATCAATAAATAACAATTTAAGCACATTTCAACTTAATTTCAAAATAACTCACAATTTTAATGCATTAACCTTTTTAATTCCGCTCTAAATATCTAACGTTGGAGTGTTTCTCGACCTCTGGTGGGAAAATAATAATATAACATGTTATTTCATGACATTATAAAATCTTTTTTTTTTTTTTTAGCATTTTTAGTTTGAATTTTGATATGTGTCCTGAAGCATTCCTCACATTTCTAAGTGGTCAAATTGCAAATTAATTTCAACCAAAAAACCCCTCAAATACATTTTTTTTGTATATTCGTGGTTCAAGTGCGACAAAAGATGAGCCCCTTTGACGAACCCTCAATTTTTTTGTTTTATGTTCAACATTTCAGATCAAAATGACCCGAGGGAAGGATGAGGTTAAAACCAGTTGAAGAGGCGAGCAGAAATGATGAATAAAAGTGTGTGAGTGTGTGTACTACAGTCTTGAGTGTCACATGATCCTTCAGAAATCATTCTAATATGATGATTTGCTGCTCAAGAAACATTAAAAACAAATGTGCTGCTTCATATTATGTCACTTCTGATCCATTTAATGTACATATTTTTTGTGAAACACACACTTTCCGACTATAGTAATAGCGCAAGTCTCTCCTGAGGCTTCGCTCTACACAGACAGCAGACATGGGGAGTGCTGATACTCACATCGATCATGTTCCTCCACCCTTCAGTGCTTCCGCTGAGCAGTGGTTCGTTGTGAGCCAGACCAGCGTTGTTAATACACACGTCCACTCCCTGATGCAACGTCTTAATGGCGGAAAACATGGAGAGGATCTCGTCCTCGTTGCACAGATCACACTTATACGGGATCAGGGTGCCGCTGTATCCGGCGCTCTGACACTCGGCTGCCAACTTCTGCAACACAAGACGCCAGCACAGCTTCACACACTCGTCTGAGAACGTTTAAAACATCGTTAACATGTGTAACGCTGAGAGATTTGTGCTCAAATGCAAGTACACAACTTCCTTACTTGAGTGAAAGTGCAGAAACTACTGGTCAGATGTTACTCCGTTACAAGTAAAAGTTGTAAAGGTTGAGTAGAAGTACACAAGAACTCGTTTGCGTATCAAAAGTAAAAAAGTAAGTGTCAATGCATTTCTCTGAATCTATGAATCTACATTTCCAGTAGTGAGATTGAATACGTGCACTCAGTAACATCCACAATGGTTTCAAACACTCAAATAGTGCCCTGTTTAACCCTTGTGCATCAATTTAAAAAAGTTACACATATAGGTAAAAAGAGGACAAAAATGTCCATGTCAAAAAACTGTCATAAAAACGTGACGCTTTGGAGCACAGACTTAAGTTTGGTATCATTTTAAAGAAGACCCTTTGCAGATTATTGCTGAAGTAAAAAAATAATAATAAGTAAATCCAAAACAAAGTTATATAGGTATAAGTTTATGAAAATTATTTATAAAAAATATTTTATATAAAAAATATATATATTTTTAAATCAGGTTGAACTCAAAACTGCAATAAAATCAAAGCCATAAATCTAAATAGGTTGTGTTCCAAATTTGAGGATGATATCTCAAAAAATGAGCTTTCGGTAACAGTTTGTTTGGGTGTAGTAACATATTTTCCCCATTGGGTGCCAGCAAAACCCCACTGGAGCTCACAGGGATTGCAGTTTTTCTCTCTCAGTATTACAAACACACACACACACATATTTTTTTATAACACACATACTAACCACACTCTGACATCCATACCAACACATCCACACAAATATTGTTGCATAATTTATCCAGTTGGCTCTATAATATGCCGAAGCAGAAAACAGGAATAAAGCGATATTTGTTTTATTGGCCAAACTTTAAAAAAATGGCACCATCTGATAAAAAATAGTAAAAAATAAAATTTTGAAGCCTTGCCATCAGAATGAAAGCCTCTTAACAAAGATTGCATAATTTTATAGTTAACTGAACCGGGGATTAAAAAATGGCGGTTTCAATGGGGACATTTTTGTCCAAAAGGTGCTGAGAGGGAGTATTTTTTGTACCTAATGCAAAAAATATTTTTTTTTGAAAATGACGGTGAAATAGTAAAATTACAATAAAAATACACACCTGTGCCAAGTTTTTTGCAGTTAGCTTTAACACAGGCAAAGTGATCAAAAAAACAAAACTGAAAAGGACAAAAATGTCCACAAGGATGCACAAGGGTTAAAGTTGATTGATTGGCTTTTAGTGTGAATATGTTAGCTTTACTGTTATCTAGAAGCTAGTGTGATCCAAAACAATGACAAAATTCGCATTTAGAAAACCAAACCCAACACGAAATGGTTCTATTTAGAACCAGAAATGGTTCCATCCCCCGCTTCATATATGGAACTCCAAAATGGTTCTATATAGAACCATTTTTTTTTTTGGTAAAAGGTTCTATTGGCCAAGTACGGAACCACAGGGTTCTATAGAGAATCTAGAGGAACCCTTTTTTTAAGAGTGTATAGAACCTTTTAGGGGTTCCAAATACGTAGCGCTGATAGAACCTTTTAAGGTTCTTTATAGAAGCTTTTCTTCTAAGAGTGAATGCTAGGGGTGTGTAACAATATATCGCAATACAAAAAAGCAACAATACGTATCGTGGATAGTGACAATATGTCTCGTGGATAGTGTGAGAAAAAAATTCAAGTTTTCAGAGTTTTAGTGTCATTACTACATTAAACTACTATATAAAACTTTGAATATAATGTATGATAATGCAATGGGGGAATATTTGTGCAACGGGTCTTGATAATGCCAAATATCTTATGTTACCTGTAAAAAGTGGCCAACATTATTTTAAATATATCAGATTTTTAGGTTCAGAATCATGAATATTGTTATTCTGGTGTCACCATTGTCCTTGTCCAAAACCTATTCATTAAAAACCCACATTGTAATATCAAATTTAGTATTTTCATTTTTTGTTAACCTTTTATCATATGTCTTGGAGTATCGCAATAATATCGTATCGTGAGTTCAGTATCGTGATATGTATCGAATCGTGACCTGAGGGTATCGTTACACCCCTAGTGAACGCTGAAAATAAAAACTATGAATTTCCATTAAAAAAAACACAGCATAAAAATCCCAGAAGTCCCTGTATTACACATACAGGAAGATTATATTTCTTACAGTACTGTTCCCTTGTTATTATTGAGCAAGTTTTATACACAAACTTTGATTCATCATCTTGTATCGAGCCGGCTGCACTATTGTGACGCATTTAGTAGTTAAAGTATAGGTATTAATATTATATTACTTAGTGAAATATAAATAAACAGTTATAAATTGTGAAATATGAAGGTATCCTGTAGAACTGGAAACATCGTCACAGTATCTGTGTGTTGGACTTCATGCAGACTGTTATTTACTGTAAATTTCACAGGATTTTCATTTGTGTGTATAAGTGCAACATAGAAGTGTTCATATCTCAAAGAATGTGCTTTAATGTTTCATGACATTTCAAAACACATACTCTAGAAGAAGTTACAGTTCATCATTCAAAGATTTTAAGATATTACAAATTCCAATGAATATTAACTGATGTTTTCAGAGTCAAATTCTCCACACCGAAAGACTCTCAGCGCAGGCTAGAGGAAACGAGAGAAATCAATGCCATTTACAACTAGAACGAGAGAGAGAGAGACAGACAGACAGAGAGAGAGAGAGAGAGAGAGAGAATAACAGGACGAGTTCTGCTCTCAGATTCACTTACTGCTCTTTTCTTATAAGCGTATGAACATGAGCAGGAGCACAGCGGGAAATCAGGAGAGATGTTTGAGGAATTCACACACACACACACACACACACACACACACACACACACACACACACACACACACACACACACACACACACACACACACACACACACACACACACACACACACACACACACGTCTCCTTTCACCTGTTTCAAGACTGATTTGTCCTGTCAGTGTGTGTTCTCGTCTTCATTAGCAGAGCTGCAGATCTGAAGTGAACAAAAGAGCCACACACACACACACACACACACACTGAACTGTGGAGTTACCCTTCAACTACACATCGTTTACAATCGGAAGTGAGAAATTTAAAATAAATGATGTTAAACTTTAGTTGACAGTCACGCATAAACACACACACACACATTTTTGGCGACACCAGTTTTATTTACCTCTCACAGAAATCTTTGCTGACAGAGTGTTTGGCGAGTGTTAATTCAGTTTGAGTGTGTGTGTGATACGTGTATGTGTGTGAGATTGTGTGTGTGTGTGTGTGGAGGGAAAGAAGGCCCCAGTGTGGCATGATGTCTCTGCCAACACTACTTTATTACATGAAATAGAGTATTATAGTACATTTACACTACTGGAAACTCTCTCTCTCCCTGTGTGTGTGAGTGTTAGTGTGTGTGTGTGTGTGTGTGAGTTAATGTTGGACTCAGATGGAGAGAATTTGAGATTCTCTCTTTGTGTGTGTGTGTATGTGTGAGTCCGAATGTGTGTGTATTTATAGCAAACTGTTGTGCAGATATGTGTGTGTGTGTGTGTGTGTGTGTAAGGAAAGGCATCCAGATTGGTTTCAGCACCACAAGAAGCATCCGGCTCTGTGTGTGTGTGAGAGAGACACTAAGTGTGTGTGTATGTGCGAGTCTGAATGTGTGTGTGTATTTATAGTAAACTGTTGTGCAGATCTGTGTGTGTGGGATCCGGCTGCACAGGTTAGATGCAGTGTTACTGATCTCCACTCGTAACACACTCCTGCTCCTCTAACCTGACGTGATCGACTGATCTCAGGTCAGAGACACTAATGATCCTCCTGAGTCTGCAGGCTTTCAATCATCTCATCACTTCCACTTTAATGACACTGATTAATGATTCAGGCCAGCCTTGCACAGCAGTAATCTATCACAGGTGGAAGTGTGTGTGTGTGTGTGTGTGGTTGAAAGAGCGTAAATCTGCTGTAATGTTTAATCTGGTGAGTGTTTAGTAACACGAGAATCATCCGTTCACGCGCTCAGAGTTTAATGAGGCGAATCGCTCACACACACACACACACACACACACACACACTCAGATCCGCCAGCCGAACTGTACGCATCATCGCTGTTCGAGGATATTCCTGTCAGATTGTTTGGGTGTTTCTTTCTTTGCACGTGTGACGAACAGCAGGTCACACACTCATCAAATTATAGATAACTCTATTTATGTCGTTTAATAATGATAATGATAATGATGATACAACAAATACAGTAATATTACAACAACAAAAAAAAAAATCAAAGGGGTCCAAATGAGAGTTTTTAAAAATGAATGAATTTTTTTTTCGAATCATTTGGTTAATTCAACGAACGAAATGACTCGAAAAAAGATTCGTTCATTTAGGTCCAAATGAGAGTTTCAGTGCAGCTTCAAAGGGCTTTAAACGACACCAGACAATAAATAAGGGTCTTATCAAGCGAAACAAGCGGTCATTTAATAAATAATGTTGTTCTGTGATGCGCATTCGTGACAAATCTTTCTTCGAGTCATTTGATTCATTTAACAAACGAAATGACACGGAAAAAGATTCATTCATTTTGATGAACTCGTTCGAACAGGAGAGTCACGAACGCGCATCACAGAACAGAGCAAGGCGAGCATTTGAGCTTATAAAACTTAAACTTTTCTATTTATTTTTTAAATGACCGCTCGTTTCGCTTGATAAGACCCTTATTCATCGTCTGGTGTCGTTTAAAGCCCTTTGAAGATGCACTGAAACTGTTTTTTGGACCTTGAACCGTTTGGACCCCATTGAAGTCCATTATATGGAGAAAATCCTGGAATGTTTTCATCAAAAACCTTCATTTCTTTTCGACTGAAGAAAGAAAGACATGGACATCTTGT